CGTCATTAACGGCGGTAATGATTGGGCATTAGCGGCGGTTTTGTTACCACCGTTAAAAGTGGGCATTAACGGCGGTTTTTTTAACGGCGGTAACAAAATCGCCGTTAATGATACCTTTAACGACGGTTTTCGTTACCGCCGTTAATAGTACCTTTAACGACGGTTTTCGTTACCGCCGTTAAAAAAATCGCCGTTAATGCCCTGTTTTGGCGTAGTGGTAGATTATATTGATCTCCTTAAGAATAGGACGAAATATAAGAAGTTCCGTAATTTTGATGTAATTACATTAACTTTATTTTTGGTAAGGCTAAATGACTAGATAGTAGTTGATATGAAAACACAAAGATAAGCAAACAAAAATATATATTCAAGTGTAGAATAATATAATTTTTTTTTTTAATTTTTTATCCACATACCTAATGAATTTATGATTAAAAAAAGGTTAAATGCCATAAAAAATAAAATTTTGAAAAAATTATAATTATATCAAACTTGGAGCGTTTATTATATATTTTACAAACTTTCAGGAAGTTCATTGTAATTTACCATATCAATTATTTAGGGGTTATTTGGGGTGTCCTAAATAAGTATACTTTTTTCTTTTTGGACTAAAAAATTGAGGAAGAAAATATGGATCTTTGGATTAACTTTTTGACTTTTTATGAAAAAATATATAATAAAAACTTATAAAAATTAATTTGTGAGTAAATATGTTTCAAAATGAGGAATTTTATTTTACCTCTTAAATTATTATTCAAAAATTAATGTAAACTCTCTATTTTTTAATATTATTAATTTTATATTTTAATTATTTAATTTTGAATTATTTTTACTTTTGCTGTTAACTGCCGTCAATAATCAAATGAAACTTGCTGACGTGTCACCCCCAAATTTTATTTGAAAATTCATTTTACCTCACAAACTCTCTCCAAAATATCAATTAAACCCCTTGAATATATATAAAATTAAATGTAGATATATAATAATAATTTTTATATGAAAAATTAAATTTTAAATATCTAATAATAATTGTAATCATTCATTATTGTTTTTTAAATTTCCGAAGAAGATGTTTCTTTCTGAATATGTGTGGTCTAAATTTTACCGACACAGTTTTCAACCTACTACTATTCGATTAGTCATATTAAAATTATCGACGATAAGCTAGCTGCAACTGCTAAGAAAGATAGGGTAAACTTAGAATTTTGGGCTTAATTGCTTTCCCTAGGGCTGATTCAAGGTAATTTGGGACTTAAAGTAATATATTTAAATAAAGTATATTTTTTAAATAGGGCTGATTCAAGGTAATTTGGGACTTAAAGTAATATATTTAAATAAAGTATATTTTTTAAATAGGCTTTATTTTGTAAAGTGTATTATTAAAAATTGAATTTCCCCTTTTTTAGATAAAATTATTATAAATATTTAAATTTAATTATTTTTATTTGTTGGTGCTCTAATTCATATTTTAGGAATAGTTAGGGGTAAAATGAAGTTGTAAATAAAGTTCCGGTGCCACGTCAATAACTTCTATTTAATTGTAGATGGTAGCTAATAGTGGAAAGGTTAAATTGGTGATAGTTTGGAGAGTAAAATGATTCGTACAACAAATTGATGATAGTTTGAAAAGAAAAAAAATGATATGTACAGCAGTATCACTCACCTCTATAAGCAAAGAATTTGATGAAAAGATAGCACCAAATCTACAACCACCCAAAGAATAGAGATGTTTATATAGTTTTTATTCTAAGAGTATGTGTTAGATGTTTGGTATAGCTGTTGAATCCATAATCTCACACTCTAAAGACTATTGCATAACCACTATGCCAAATGTAATTTGCATTTGTATAATCCACTTGTAAATAGTTATATATGTACAAGATTTATCTTGTTAGTATATAATATAATATTAGCAACTGAAACGACTACATCACTATGTCTAATAAATTCACAAATTTTATTAGTGTATATAACATTAATTATAAAAATAAAAAGTATTTTATATTATGTTAAGTAATGACAATATGTTTTCAAAGGTCGATAACCATGTATAGGGTTGTGCAAAATACCGTCTAATCCGCTAAAATCGCATCGATCCACATCAATCTGCACCACTCTAACCGCTAAACGCAGTTTAAACTTTAAAATTTATAATCCGTCAACCGAACTGCTCTATTTCGCTATAGTTAATACATATATATTTTTTAACTTTTAATGAAATAACAATGTAAAAATTAGTGTGAGAGATATTTAAGATATGAAATTTATTACAAATTAGTGGTTATATATATGAAACATATTATGTAAAATTATTTTGTGTTATATATCTAAAAAATATTATACAAATTAGTGTTATATATTATGTAAATGTATGATAATTAGTTAAAATGTTCTTCAATCTGTCAAAAATCGCTCAAACCACAATTTGTCAATCCGCTAATCGACTAACCCACCATTCAATTTGTAATTTTACTCTCCAACTGTCCGAACCGCACCGCGCACACCCCTAACCATGTATGGTTGCATCCGTTTTTACATGAAAAAATGTTACACTTTCTAAAAATTTTACGTACTTTTTCTTTACAAACTATTGTGACAATTTTTTATTTAAAAAGTAATGCATTTAATAGCGTGCTAAAATATGTATCAATACCACAATTTGAGAAGATTTCTGAAAAAATTATTTCAATGGTTTGCTATTTCTGTTTCCAAAATATCGAATTGTCAAAATTTGATAAAACTCTTTGGAAAATGCATGAGACCCCAGTGGGGGTACTAGGGGTCTCTCTTGATTGGTCCAAAAATATATATATATATATATATTTTTTTTTTTTTTTTATTTTCATCCATTGCCAGCCCCCCACGTGGAGGTGGGGGTGCTGGAGTCCTTCCCTGTTGGGGGTCTCCAGCAGGGCCGAAACTCTTTCAATACTTTTCTCATTAAATTATAAAATAATCACGAATAATGAGAAATCGTCTCTTGAATTGCCAAATATCTCTACTTTCCATTATGCCAATCAAATCCATTCTAAAAATTAGAAATCAACAAATAAAAGAAAAAGTAAATGGACCTCACCCATTGAATCATGACTCTTTCTGCTCTTCTGATATTCAAATTTGATGGAGATGAAATTGGACCAATTGACCTCTTTTTTTTTTTTCTTTCTTTTTTTCTTTTTTCGTTTCTTTGAAGTTCACAAGAATTTGTCCATATTTCCGATTAAATCTTCTTGTTCTTAAATGTTCCATTGGAATAAATTGTTATTCCGTTCCTCGGCGGAAAAAAGTCTAGTTTATTCCAAGTTACAACATAAAAGATACTCGTAAATAGCATTTTTATTTTGACATTTGCCCTATTGATGGGTACACTACAGGAAAAAAGAGTTTAGACGGCGTTTTATTCACGACGCATTTTTAAACGTCACTATTTTTAATATTTAACGACGTTTTATAAAACGTCGCATATTTATTTAATAAAACGACACCGTTTTATAATAAGAGGCGTTTAAAAACGCCTCCAAATGCGTTGTGCCTCACGCGCTGGGTCTCCTCTTCTTATCCAACCCTGATTTTGAATCTGAGATTCGCCTAAGACCCAAATCGAGAGCTCTCTCTGTCTCTCTTTCGCTGAGAGCGATTTCGAAGCTCCACCACTTGTTCATTCTCAGGTTGAGGAAGCGAGCACCAACGAAGGTGAGCTTTACTGTCTCTCTTTCTCTCTCTAAATATCTATCTCTCTCTCTCTCCATCCTCTCTAAACCCTTATCAGAGCGATTGAGAGATTCATCTCAATGATTTCATCTCAGAGATTCAGAGCGATTTCATCTCAGTGAGAAAATGGATCATGAAAATCGATTTATCATTACTCGTTAACGGTAGATCTATCGAACATATGATATGTTAAGCTTCAATCAGGTAGATCTATCATTTTTCTCACACACACACACACACACACAGAGATCATGAAGTCTATGGTTTGATTCTTCATCTTCTTCATATTTTTTTTTTTAGCCGATTTGAGATCTGAAGCTTCGTTCACAGCAGATCTATCATTTCCTTCAATTTTTTTTTGGTAGATGTGGTGCATCTCTCACTCTCGCTGCCTCATATGTATGTGTATCTATAGATCTACGAAGAAAACAGTGATTTGTTCTCGTTTTTGTTTGAATTATCAATTTTATTTGAAAGGCAGGGTTGCTTTTCTGTTTTTAGTTGTTTTGTTTCTAGATCTGAACACGACTTCATTACTTTTCCGAGGTTTGTTTTTGTGTTCTTACTCTTGTTTTTTTACATCGATTACCGATTCGAATTTAGACTCAACAAAGTTCTACTTCTCTCGAATATCACTGCTTGATTTTTTTACTAATTTTAAGTGTTTCAAATTGATCTCATCGTTTCATCGTCTTTTCTGATTCAGATGGCTTCGATGATGCTCTCTCTTGCCTCTGCATCTGCCTCAGCTTCAGCAAGCTAATCGCAAGCCACCATTAACATCAATCCACTGGTTAATTTTACAATTTTTTCAATTTTTTTGTGATTTTCTTTTCATTTTTCCTATGTTGGATGTTGAAAATGAAGTATAAAAATAAAATAAAAAAAAAAATCTATGAATTTAATTTTGTATTAGCTTTACTTCAGTGGAGTCCTTCTGTTCTATTTGATCACAATTGTGAAGCTTATTTAAAATGTGTAAGCATCACTTTTTTTTTTTTTTTTCTTTCCTCAATAGGCTGCTCAAAATTCATGTCTTTTGAACACCATAAGAGAGGATGAGGTCTTTAGAGGACTAACGAGTGATGCAACATGGTAAAATTGAAGTGGGTATTCAAATGTAGGGTTGCCATATCTTTGACGGGGAAGGAAGCAAAGAGGAAGGTGGAGTGTATTCAAACATGTTCTAATGCGTGTGAGGTTCCAAATACATGTTGGAGATGATGGGTGGGATAGAATGTAGTGGAGTATTCAGCTAACTTTCCTCCTTACCATTATTATATGGTGATATGGATGAATTTGGGGAAGGGGAAGTACCAGGGTTTAGGGTTGAAGCGTAACATTCCTTGTCCTTATTATATATTTATTTTCAGCCTAGATTATTGTTTTGTTTTATTGGTTTAATCATCACGTTTTATAAATGTTAAAGCTCCAATCTGTTGAAGTGTAATCTTCCTTGTCCTCACTATATATTTATTTAGAGCATAGATTATTTGTTTGTTTTAAATCTCTATTAGTTTTTGAATAATATTATTTTTCTGCTGTAGCAAAAAATTCAAGATGAGTTGATAGCTCGAGAAATTGTCATTAATGATGCTGATTCTGCTGTTCGCTACAAACTCACAAAACGTCAGACCCAGGAAGGGGTTAAATTATTCATTTGGTTTTCATGATTGAAGGATAACTTTCTATTCTGTCTTTAAGTTAGTCTTGAAAAATTAACACTTGTGAGATTGATAGTTTCTTCTACTAACCTTGCAGATCCAAAAGTGCACTGGGGCCGTAGTAATAACAAGGTAAATATGTCATTGCAGGCTGTAATGAGGTCCATTGTACTGATATCTTATTCTTGTGTATAATGCATTTGATAAAATTATATTTGCAGGGGCAAATATCGTCCTCCAAGCGCAGCCCCCGATGGTGAAAAGCCACTCTATCTTCACATTTCTGCTGGTGCACATATAAGTGCTTTATATGTATTTATTCTCTCCATCTGAGGCAAAGGTTGAATAAAATGGTTGAACATTTGACATGGCTCTGTGTTTACCTATGGGGCCTCTAATTGGTGTTACTTATACCAGCAAGACGGGGAATCTGTGCCTCTTATCTTCCTTCATTTTGCTGTTGTTAAGTAGTTTTGTGTATTGATTCCAACCATTTTAGGGATTCCTAGCAGGGAAAAGAGGAGGAAAACATAGCTAGTATTGTCTTTCTGCTTGATGTAGTTTATTTGGGGAGAACAGTGTAGGAGAACTTTCAAGGGTATAGAGCAGCCTGTATATATATTGAAGAATAATTTTTTGGGTTGTTTTCTATAATTGACTTTCGAAAAGGGTTAATCCCAACCTTGGTCATTTAGAAACCATAGATGTGTAATGCGTGTGTATATCTTATAACGTTTGGCAACTGTTGTTTGTGAAGTTCTTTCTTTTTGTTTTTGTATACAGCTTGTATTCGCTTGATGCTCTCTCTCAATAAAGCTTATTATTCATATAAAAAAAAAAAAAACCTACTTAATATCTATGGCTCTTAATGATTCCAAAAATGGCTCACAAATCTCAACTTTATCTGTCCTTGTAGATCTTGTATTATGAACTTTTTTCTTATATAAAGAGATTTTCGTTTTATTTAATACATATGTTTATCAGCAATACCAAAGATGGCTCACAGATCTCAACTTGTTGTCTTTGACTCCTTGTTAATAAAGTGTTATGAATTTTAGATATTACTTGTAAATGTTACTTACAATTTTGATCAAGGCAATTCAACTTGCTAGTTTGGATCAGTTCATCACTCAAAATTGCAGTTGCAAGTTATTGTATTACTATTTACGAATTATTTTTTTTCCTTTTATTGTTATTTTTATTTAGCTTGATTTTAATTTCCTTGAATTATGGTTTGCTTTTGCAGTTGGAGACGACAGTGAAACGGATAAAAGCAGTTGATCTTGCAGCTGCCATGGTTGAAGAGATGTTGAAACAAGGTTCTATCAACAATGTTGGAACGGTAAATGTCTCGCACTTAAGCTCTATAAGCCTGCAGAATGGGGTTGACAAATAATTGTGACTGTTTGAAACAGGTTACTAATCATCTGAGCACATGTGTGTATCTGGGTTTTGAAGCAGACCCATCCTTGAACATCGCTGCTCGTATTCGTGGGCCAAATGTGAGCCTCACCCCTCATGCGATTGTGCATTTCTGATTGTGTTGCTTAGCTTGTGCTTATTCTTTTATAAGGGGTATTGTATGGTCATATATGGATGTTTTGCTTTAATTTCTTTATATATGAATTTTTTATGCATTCATCTGGCATTGACACTCACTTTTGTAGCTTCTTCTTCTTTTTCCCCTTTCTTTCTTTCTGTCATTTTTTGTTTGGTTCCTGTTATGCTATTTGATGAATTTAGTTCAAAGTTTATATTGTTCATGATGAAGATGAGAGATTCTAATGTTTGAAGCTTTCTCTGACATCTCCATGCAATTGGGAGAGTTGTTTTTTTCGTGTGTTGGTGGTGGTTGGTTTTTGAACATGCAGGACCAGTATGTAAATCACATTATGAATGAAACAGGAGCAACTGTCTTACTAAGAGGACGTGGTTCAGGAAATTCTGAAAGTGCATTTGGCGAAGGTTGTACTTGTGGTGCCATGCAACTGTTTTGCAATTTGGACAATATGGATTGTGTGCATATTGTTCTTCAAAGCACTGACCATATTATTACTGTTACTTTCTATTCTTGCAGAAGGAAAGCAGCCACTGCATTTATACTTGTCGAGTAACAATCCAAAAAGTATTGAAAGTGCAAAGCTTTTGGCTGAAAATCTTTTGGATACAATCAGCATAGAGTGCTGTGCCTCTAGGTAATTAGGTTTAATTTTTGCTTATGTTTATATTAGAGTATATGTGAATATTCTCAATAGGAGAATTCTGTCCTCTAAAATTGGGTGAGGGTAACTTAGATTTTTTCTTTTCTTAATTGATAGGTACTTGGAGAATGTAAGCATTTTGGGTAATATGTTGGCATAACATTTTTTATCCTCTTTTGAGAGTTCATATGATGGTCTGTTTGGTGCAACTAAAAGCTAATAATTAGAAAGCAGAAACTAAAAGCACCCATCCCGATAATCAACCTATTTTTGCCTCATTAGCTGTAACCAAAAAGCTGCACTGCACCAAACACACTGGCATAAACTCCTAAAA